TTATACCCCCTTATTTACCAGGCCAATTTTCAGCTTTCAGCGCTGTCGCACTTTGATTGACAATTGCGCGGTCATGCAACATCATACCCATATGAAATTTTGATCATTTTTTTCTCACAAATAGAGCTTTCTTTTGGTGGTATTTAATCGCCACTGGGCGCTTTACTTTTTGCGCTTTAAATAAAAAAAAGTGCAAAAAATGTGAAAAAAAAAAAAATAAGTTTCTTTGTTTCTATTATAAAATTTTTCAAACAGGTATTTTTTCTCCTTCACTGATGTGCGTTGATGAGGCAGCACTGATGGGCACTGATAGGCGGCACTGATGGGCACTGATAGGCAGCACTAAAGGGCACTGATAGGCAGTACTAATGAGGTGGCACGGATAGGCGGCACTGATAGACAGCACTATTGAGGTGTCACGGATAGGCGGCACTAATATGCAGCACTGATAGGCGGCACTGATAGGTGACACTGATTATGGGTATTGATAGACGGCACTGACTGGCATCACTGCTGGGCACTGACTGGCGGCACTGACTGGCACAACCCCTGGGCACTGACTGGTGGCACTGACTGGCAGCACTGCTGGGCGGCACTGGTGGGTGGCACTGGTGGGCAGCACTGGTGGGTGGGCACAGGTGGGTGGCACTGGTGGGCACAGTTGGGTGGGCACAGGTGGGTGGCACTGCTGGGCACAGGTAGGTGGCACTTCTGGGCACAGGTAGGTGGCACTGCAGAGTGGCACAGGTGGGTGCACTGCTGGGCACAGGTGGGTGCACTGCTGGGCACAGGTGGGTGATCTGCTGGGCACGGGGTGGGTGGAGCTAGTGGGCGCACTGCTGGGCACAGGTGGGCGGAACTTGCGCGTGGCACTGCGGGGCACCGATCATCAGGGCACTGATCATCAGTGCCCTGATGATCGGTGCCGATCCCCGCTCTGACAACTGTTGGTTCTCGGCAGTACTTTCCTCACGATCTGACAGCGTGAGGAAAGTGCAGCCAAGAACCGGCACTTGCATTTCCCTCTGATCAGCGTGTCATTGGACACCGCTGATCACGTGGTAAAGGCCGCTGTGATTGGCCTTTTACCACATCACGTGATCAGCTGTGTCCGTAGGACACAGCGATCACGGAGATCGCCGGGTGCGCGCCCCCTGGGGCGCGCAGGAGAGCGCGTTCTGGGAGGACGTCATATGACGTCCACTCAGAACTGGCTGGACAGGGTTTTTTTTTTTCGGCTATCTGCGGTCGGCAGCTAGTTAAAGAGATCTATATAATGACTAGATTAATAGGGGGGGATAGAGAGGATTGGACAGGGGTTTTTTTTTTTTTTGTATCGGGAGGGGAGGGAATGGGGATAAAGTGTATGTGTATGATGAAATGTGAATTTATGGTGGTTTTGTAGAATATTTTTTAAAAGAAAATCTAATAAAAGATCTAATTAAAAAAAAAAAAAGAAGAAAAAAAAGGAGAGTGCTGTAGTGCCACATGGTAGAGTACGGTCACAAGTAAACTTTTGGCATCTCCACTATGCTGTGCAGTGTGTCCATGTCCAGGTCATCTGATTGAGCTGGATCCTAGCAAATTCTTCACTCCCTCCTCTATGTCATAACTTTGCTGCAGTGCCACTCAGCAGATAATGGAGCTACATCATTGTCAATTAAACCTCCATAAACAAATGGAAGATAAAGCACTAGAGCTTTATAAATTAATGTTTCCACTCACAACCAAGTCCAAAGCCCTCTTATACATAGGAATTTATCTAAATGAATCAGTAAAACCATGTATTTTCATAGGAAACTATCAATGAACTGTATAAATAGGGGACATATTATAAGACTCATAGATCATATACATACAAAAAGGTACTATTAGAAAACAAACAAAAAACATTAGTACATTAAACCAATATCCAAATGACTTCATAATATTAATAAAAAGGTAAATTAGATTTAAAAAAAAAAAGGGAGGGGATTGTTTTTCACATAAATGCTATCCACCCATTTACTCACAAGACAAATGGAAAAATAGGATGATTAGTGAAGTGATAATTCACTGCAAATCCCACAATAGAAAAGGTGAACTCGATACTATCCAATAGGCATCTAGTATGTGCATGATGTAAAAAAAATATTCTTGATGAAATAATACTGTGCCACCTGGAGGCCAAATACATGTTGAATAGATGTGTATAGGTGACACATCCAATGATACAAATCTGTAGCCTGGTTTCCATTTCTAATTGGACAATATGTCTAACATATGAATGGAATGCCTTAGATAAGAAGGTAATTGTATCACCAATTCTTGCAGGAAATTGTCAGTGTATCAGCTCAGATTTTATAGCGCCATTAAATAAAGAATATAGATGTTCTGTCCCCTTCACAATCTCATCATAGAAAATACAGTGTCAATAAAATACTTTAAGCCCCCCCCCCCCAAAAAAAAACACTTTTCAAAAATATGTTAAACTGCGACAGAGTCCATAAAGGTCCCTTTAAGAGTGAAAGATTCAAATAGTGTGACAGTCACCATGTACTCTCCAACAAGTGAAGTGCCAACTTCAGTGTATTTACACCTTAATAGCACCCAAACTCCTTACCGCATATATTTGATTGCTAAATCATAAGAGATTGACAGTGCATGTGAAATGACAACCCAGCAATCATAATCAGCCCCAGGTGCCAGCATCTCTGCAAGAATCTCATATTAAAGTAAGGAGAGCTCTGAGCGCTTATTGGAGGGAAGGAACAGCCCCCCACACACACACAGGAAGGTCCCTCCCGTGTCACCATTTTTCTCTTGGTGTCAGAAGTGACTCATGATGGCAGAGGAGTGAAGCAGCAGAAAGTGCTTTGGATAGAGACAAGTGCATTCTATAGAGAATATGCTTTGTTCATATATCATGTCTGAGGTTTACTATATGCACTGCATTTTATATGATGAGATCATGTTAAAAGAATAGCGCGCCTATATTCTTTATATGTTTTCGACCCTGTGTTTGGAGGCGCAGTGTGCTACTTCTTTATTGCGAATACACCATGCACAAGGGATGGTTTGTTTTTAAAGGGCCATTGGGTGTATTCCGCTCTCATATGGTCATCTCCATCCTCTTAGAATATATTTGGTTTGCACGCACCCTATCTCTCGGTTTGGATGTCCATGTGGATAGCCAAATTCTGACAAAATCCGCTGTTGTTTCCAAGAAATTAATGTTAAAATTAACAGTATTTCAGAGGGTGGGGGTGGAAAAAGGAAGAGACCTCATGCATTGCTGATGTGAAAGTATATTGTTTTTTTTTGTTTTTTTTTTCATTCGAAATAAGTCCATAGAATATTCATGGCAGAAGTTCCAGCTGTAATCTAATGACCTTTGTTTTGCAGGCCTCAAATAACATCCGATTAATTGTGGGAGCAAAAGACAAGGGAGCTGTGCCTTTATCCAATTCAACTACTGTAAACATACGCATTCAGGATGGGAATAACAATATGCCAGTGTTCACTAGCGGGGATAAAGTGAGTATTTTTTAGAGGGAGCATTTTACTAGTATTTGAACACTTCGTCTCTCACACCCGTTCACCTATTCTGATATGGACCTGTTTATTCTGTGATAACTTTGCCATTACTTAAGATAACAATGTAATACATATATTGTTTAAGTACAAACAAGGCTTTCTTTTTGCAAATATTGTCTTGCAACAAAGATTTTTTTTTTGCAATCTTAAGATGGTTAACATAACGAGACAAAAAAGTGAGCATTTAAACACACTAAAATTATGATTCTGGTACAAAGCATTGCAAAATTATTTACAAATGTGTTTTTTTTTTTTTTTCAAATTTTGCGCTTTTTTTTCAATGTGATATGTGTAAGATATGTTAAAGGTGTAAAAAATATTAATGAACAAAGCCAACAAAAACTAAAAAGTTTAAAAATGATTAGTTAATAAAGTAGAAACAAGCATACAAAAAATCAGCAGAGAAATTACAACTGAATGGAGAAGGAGAATTCGTTATTTAGGGCTGATTAGAGTAAATTAAGGGTACATAAAGGGTTAAAGAGAGAAACATTTAATTATATAAAAAAAAAAAAAAACTTTTTTTTGTACTTGTCAGGTCGCTTTAACTGATTTCCATCTACAGATTGCAGTCCATTCCTTTTATCTGTAGATGAATAAACAGAATAGTTACAAATATGTTTCTTTGTATCTTTTCTGTATTTTTGGCTGAGCAATGTTGTTGATAGACATTATTAGACTGCTTTTTTTTGACAGCAGCAGATACTGGACCTTCTCCGTGTACTCGGCAATGCAGCTGTCGTTGCCATGTACAGGGACGGGGGGGGATCCCGGCAGAAGGACTGGGCGTTCTACACATTCCCTCTGTACAATGATGACATTTTTTTGGGCACATGTAAATGATCAGTCTGCACCTGGTTAAAGTGCATCTTCTATTTTGATCACTGATATAGTGTAAAAGGTAGCCATTTTTTTTCTTCACAGCTACGATGGCTTCAGTGTATTTCTCTGTATTAATTAACCACTTGCCTACCAGGCACTTATACCCCCTTATTTACCAGGCCAATTTTCAGCTTTCAGCGCTGCCGCACTTTGATTGACAATTGCGCGGTCATGCAACATTGTACCCATATGAAATTTTGATCATTTTTTTCTCACAAATAGAGCTTTCTTTTGGTGGTATTTAATCGCCACTGGGCGCTTTACTTTTTGCGCTATAAATAAAAAAAGTGCAAAAAAATTGAAAAAAAAAAGTTTCTTTGTTTCTATTATAAAATTTTTCAAACAGCTAATTTTTCTCCTTCACTGATGTGCGTTGATGAGGCAGCACTGATGGGCACTGATAGGGGGCACTGATGGGCACTGATAGGCAGCACTAAAGGGCACTGATAGGCAGTACTAATGAGGTGGCACTGATAGTCGGCACTGATAGGTGACACTGATGATGGGTACTGATAGACGGCACTGACTGGCATCACTGCTGGGCACTGACTGGCGGCACTGACTGGCACAACCACTGGGCACTGACTGGTGGCACTGACTGGCAGCACTGCTGGGCTGCACTGGTGGGTGGGCACAGGTGGGTGGCACAGGTGGGTGGGCACAGGTGGGTGGCACTGCTGAGCACAGGTAGGTGGCACTTCTGGGCACAGGTGTGTGACACTGCAGAGTGGCACAGGTGGGTGCACTGCTGGGCACAGGTGGGTGCACTGCTGGGCACAGGTGGGTGATCTGCTGGGCACAGGTGGGCAGAGCTAGTGGCGCACTGCTGGGCACAGGTGGGCGGAACTTGTGGGTGGCACTGCTGGGCACCGATCATCAGGGCACTGATCATCAGTGCCCTGATGATCGGTGCCGATCCCCGCTCTGACAACTGCCGGTTCTCGGCAGTACTTTCCTCACGATCTGACAGCGTGAGGAAAGTGCACCCGAGAACGGCAATTGCATTTCCCTCTGATCAGCGTGTCATTGGACACCGCTGATCACGTGGTAAAAGGCCGCTGTGATTGGCCTTTTACCACATCACGTGATCAGCTGTGTCCGTAGGACACAGCGATCATGGAGATCGCCGGGTGCACACCCCCTGGGGCGCGCAGGAGAGCACGTTCTGGGAGGATGTCATATGACGTCCACCCAGAACTGGCCGGCCGCAGTGCAGCCGTCATTCGGCTATCTGCGGTCGGCAACTAGTTAAGCTATATGCCTGTTAAGGCCATCAGGCCCAGACTGGCCACTTGCCCAGAGAGCCGGGGTGACGTACTCAGTGGTAGCTGCCTTTCTCTCAGGACTGGCAGTGTGCATTTGATCTCTCCCTCTGTATCAGGAGAGGAATTATAGTGGGCACAGACTATACACAAAATCGTATCTAATGGCAGTGTTTCATTTGAAAAAAAAAGGAGAGATTGTGCTGAGGTGTGTACATGTCTGTGAGAATCTAACTTGTGGTGCACCTATCTAAGCATATTTTATGGGTGTAAAAAGGTTTTTGCTTTATTTAAGTACATCCCTTGAGCCCCTACCACTGGTAACACAATATGACCATGTCTACTATTCACTATACACGCCACATTACCACTCTCTTGTAATTGCCCAAAGGTGTTCCAAAGCCTTTTATAATACAAGCAACAACCCTGGCCCAATTGACACCATCCCCACTTTCTGCTGCATTGCGCTAAGGAACCCGTGGGTTTTTTTTTTTTTTTTTTTAGCTTTTTTTTTTTGGTTTTATCATTCAATGGGCCCCACTTATGATCCTGCACTCAGGCGCACTAATTTAATAAATGCCTCTGGTATCAGCATTCACCCCCCCTTTCTGTCCAACATTGACTCCTTACTGTCTATATACTATCATTAGCAAAATGGGCTGCTCAGTGTAAAATGTTTAGGCCTGAAGGCTATTCTTCCATTTTATATTGGAAAACTCTATGGAGTTGATATAATCAAGGCAAATAGGCTGTTCACTCTGCAGCTGACATTGCACTTTGTAAGAAAATGTGCCCCTTAGTGTAGTGAGCCTAACAAAGGAGGTGAAGCTCTGCTGACTTCCATCATCCAATCGTGTGCAAACAAAAATGCTATTTTCTTTTAATTTTCCTCGCATGTGATTGGGTATAAAGTGAAACTTCACTGAAATATGTGAGACATTTCAAAGTGTTCAGTGACTATGAAGCCCATACATAAAATCAGGATGGAGCCACGCAGTATCAGAGTAGGCCCTAACCCTTTAGCTGCCACCAATGTTCATATGGCTGTGCAGCTCCCAGATTGCTTCTCACACCACTGTTACTATGGCCCATTACCCCCCCCCCCCCCCCCCCAACTGTCTATTTCATATGTGGTTATTTATAGAAATGGTACACAAAAGCAATGAGATGCATCTTCACAGATGCAGGTTGATGTTTGCAAAGTCCTAGCACTTCCCTTGTGCATGGCCCCTTATCAGTTATATGGAGATTACACGTCTATGGTACATGCACAGAGCACAGGAAGATGACTGCAGCATACTGAAGGGGTCACAGGAGCATATCTCTATACACACTGCACCCACTGACATGTGCTGACCCATGGGTGTGTATTGCAGCCTGCTTTCATCATACAAGCATTTGGGCACTGGTAAACCTTTTTAATCTGTATGAGTAATGATAGCTTTAGTGGTTGTTATGCAGCCAAAATGCCCCATTGGGAAGAGACTTAAACATAAGCTCCAGGCAAAGAACTAAAATACACAGATGGAAACATAGAAGGATTTGTAATTCTGTCCATTCAGTGCTTACACTGCCTCGTCATACAGTCAGGTGGATAGCACTGCTTTCTTGGTTACATGTAAAGGTACACACTGACAGCACTGGTTGCATTTAAAAAGTTCTACTTTAAAGGATGTTTCACACCCCTGGTAAGTAGCGATTAATAGTGTAAGTAAGCTTCTGATTGGTGGAAGTGCTCCACACACAGCCGAATGATTCAGCAGGTTGACAAACCCAGCACCAATTGCTTCTTGTTGGAGGAAAAAAGAGCTAATATAGTGGGCACTGAATAATTATGCTGCTTGAGTCAGGGTTGGAGATCTGCCAAATTGTGATCTGTGCTATGAACCGAGTGTAATCCATTAGTACTAATAACAGACCTTCCTTTACAGTACGAAGTCTCTGTGCAAGAGGGAGAACTGAAGAAGGAGGTGCTACGATTAAAAGTAGAAGATAATGATGCACCGCAAACTCCAGCCTGGAGAGCCAAATATAAAATATTGACTGGAAATGAGGATGAAAATTATAACCTGACCACAGATCCAGAAACAAATGATGGAATCTTGAGCATTGTAAAGGTAAGGATGATGTCTGCTCTTCAATATCAAGTCAGTTAATCTTTGGTGAAGACAGGTTCACTTCCAGTCCGGACACTTTCTCCCCCTTCCAGTCCAGGCCAATTTTCAGCTTTCAGTGCTATCACACCTTGAATGTCAATTGCGCGGTCATATATGTGTATTTATTCACCACTGGGATTTTTTTTTTTTTCTATATAAATGAAAAAGTCCCAAAATTTTGAAAAAAAAGTGTTTTTCTTATAAAATTTTGCAAATAATCTTTCTTCATAAATCTTGGCCAAAATTTATTCATCTATCTTTTTATAAAAAAAAAAACAAAAAAAAAAACAAATTCATTTATAACCAAAAATTAAAAAAAAGTTTTTATTTTTTTACCATACTGTCACCCTAGCAGTACAGTGTCACCATAGTTACACTACTACTTGTGGGGGGTGATGAAATTTTTTTTTTTTTTAAATTTAATTTTTTTTTTTGTTACTTGGTATAAAGCTGTTGTGAATAGCCTTGTACCTTGTGACCTCTGTGATCATTCACAGATTTCACAAGTAGTAAGCAGTGATGTCAGGAAGTGACATCTTGTTTACTGTCCATGTGATCACTGATTTGTCAATCAGTGATCACATGAATCAGGACCTCACACAGAGGTCATGTACAGCAATCTGTGTTCCAACCATACCACCCGTATCGGCAGCGCTCCCGTTCGGCCAAGTATCGACATGGGCCGGACAGGAAGAAGTTAATTGCTGAAAGTAGGATCTTCTAGAATATCTTATAGAATCAATAGAATCTTATAGAATATAACAAGTTTCCCTTCAATATACAGTATGTGACTAAAAAAATAAGATCCAGCAAGATCTTGTGATTCACACAATGAGACACTGGGGTGGATTTACCAAAACTGGACAGTACAAAATTTGGTGCATCTTTGCACAGAAACCAATCAGCTTCCAGATTTTATTGTCAAAGCTTAATTGAACAAGCTGATGTTATAATTTGATTGACTACTATGCACCGCTGCACCAGATTTTGCACTCTCCGGTTTTAGTAAATCTCCCCTTGGCTTCCAGCAATCACAGACATTTTAATCAAGCACATATTACATCCATATTGTATAAAATAAATAACTATTGACTATGACAAACACATCACTAAGTTATCTGAAATCAAACATTATATACAGTATGTCCATTATGTGGGTTAAGCCAGTACTTCCAAGAAGAAGCCTTTTTTCCTTGTCTGTGTGTTAAAGGCCAATACCTTTTTTTTCCCCCCAGCCTTTGGATTATGAAGGTACACCAACAAAAACACTTCTCTTAACAGTTGAGAATGAAGAACCATACTTTTCATGTCAGGACAAAAAGCTCAGAACGGACAAGGCAGTTGCATCACCCAACGTAACTGTCATAATCACGGTGATAGACTCAAACGACGCTCCCGTTTTCTCCCCTAAAGTTAAAGTCATTCGAGAAAAAGAAGGTGTGAAGGTGGGGACAGTCCTTGGGACATTCACTGCAACTGACCCAGACAAGGTGCCAAACAAAATCAGGTACAGTATCTGCATTAGTTCACAATGATTCCTGAAGTAATCACCCAAGGTAGTGTTGTTCAATCTGGTGTACTACCAAGATTCTTGGCAGCAATTGAGAAGACTTTAGGGGCGCTATTTGAATAAGCAGCTGGATACTTTAATTCTTACTTCAAGCCAACTCACACTAACAATATCTGGCCTCCTAAATAAATATGATAAATATATGGAATTTTATAAAAAGCTTCTATAGTGCCAAGCAGGGGTCAGAGGTACCATTAGATATAGTAGTCCTGTGTCTATAAGTCAAAAGACCCAATTGTGTGGAAACACAATAAATCCTATACATGTTTATTCATTGTCACTAATTTCTTAGCTGGGTAGTGTTCTCAATTAAACAAATTTCCCTGTATTATAGAAAAAAAAAAAAAAAGTTGTGGAAGCAGAAGGGTGTCCTTTGGGCAACTAGGGGTAATGGAGTGATGGACATCTAGTTCAGGCACTGAGTATAAATTTAAACCTTCCATTTGTTTGATAGGTATACACTAGCACAAGATCCTGCAGGCTGGTTGGTGGTGGATGAAAATACAGGAATTGTTTCAACAGTACAAGAACTGGACAGAGAATCTCCTTTTATTAATGGAACTACATACACAGCGTTGGTCTATGCTATAGATGATGGTAAGTATGGCCTTGTATTTAATCACTAATGTCTGATTAACCATGCATAAATTATTAGTCTTCTCTAGACTTACAAATCAATAAAACCAAAAGGTTTGGAGCGAACGTGATTCCATTTATTGCAAACGTCAGTTAAGGTACAGTTAGGCCAATAAAGCCACCTTTATTTTAATATCCATTCTGATAATCCTCTAAAATGGTTACTTTAATTTTATTAATTTATTACAGGTATTTATTAATGCCGATAATTTTCACAGAGATTTACATACTGTACATTCAC